GGACATATGGGCTGATATCGGACTTATGGACTTGGTCTGGAGTGGGCTGGGATGTTTTCTCAATATTCAACTGCTCTTGTATATAAAGCTCTTTCTTATACACATGTGTCTTTGAATTTGTTTCTCTAGTCTACCCAGACTCTCTTTCTCTCTCTCTCTCTCTCTCTCTCTCTCTCTCTCTCTCACACACACACACACACACACACACACACACACGCTGCAGCTGGAAGAAACCTGTTGTGAGAAATATTTATAGAATGAGGCCCTGGGGACCCTAGATTCATCTTTGACTCTTCTTCCACCCCTTTCTTTCCTCTTGTCCTCTTATTTGTCTTTAAATCTTTCTGTGACTTCTACTTTTTAAGGTCTCTCTATTCATCCCCTCTTATCCATCCCCAGTCCTTCCATTTCAGTCTACGGCTCTATCACCTTTCACCCGGACTCTATTCTAATTCATCTCCTGACCTCCAATCCATTTCTTCTCTTGCAATCCACCCTCCATGCTACTGCCAAAATGGTCTTTCAAAAGCTCTACTATGACCTTGTCACACCCCAGTACACAGGATAAAGTCCAAGCTCCTCAGCAGGACTCTGCAGGCTCTTGGCTGCTGGCCCCTGTCGACCCTGCCCAATTCAAATACTAGCAGAAGCAGGTCTAGAAGTCCAGCTTCCTTCCTTCTGGAGTCTAGGGCTCATCTCAGCACATCATTGTCACGCCTTGAAAATCTCTTCCAGGAATTTTTGTTCTGCGGCTGATAACCACATAACAGGGGTCTGCTCTCATGGCCCAGAGGTTCTGCGTGAACCCTGTCCATAAGCCATGCAGCAAGTTATATCAGACTAGAGAGGGACATGCATATTATGTCCCTGACCTTGAACACATGGTGTCATCAGTGGAGGTCGCAGTAATAGAAAGGAACAAAGGGAAATGAAAAGCGGTTACTCAGTGCCGACAAGGTGTTCATGCCGGGCTGTGAACCACCTCACTTTGTAACTCTTCGACCGAGCAGCTGACGTCTCCTGGGAGGAGGCATAGCCAGGGGTGAACTTCCAGTCTGGATCCACTGATCCTGGGGCTGATCCTTGCTGGGTAGCCTTCTGTGGGGTTCGACGGGATGGCACGATGCGTCCTGAAGGTCCTGGCACACTGTGTCCTGGCCATTTCTGGTCGAAGGGTTAGAGTGCCAGAAACCTTCCAGATGGAAATGCCAACAACGCCTCTTAGTCCTGGTTTGTTTGTCCATTTAGAGTGTCCATTTAGAACATGGGGAGGGGTGGGTGGGCAATACCTCCCACACCAGAACATTCCCAGCTATGGAGTTGACTCAGAGAGACCCTGTACAGGGTTTCCCGGGTTGAATTTCTTTACAGGAGCCGATGGCCTCACCTATCACCTGTGGAGCACCTGGTGGGTTTGAATCATTGCTCTTGTGGTTTAAAGCTTACCTGAAAGCACCAAGGGGCTTCAAAGAGCTTATGGGAAAATTCTATTATCTTTTATGATGATGATTAAACAGTGCTTAGTCTGGGTGGACTAGAGAAACAAATCTAGAGAGACACTCAGATGTGTATAAGAAAGAGCTTTCTATACAAGAGCAATTGAATATTGAGAAAACATCCCAGCCCAGTCCAGATCAAGTCCCTAAGTCTGATATCAGCGTATATGTCCGATACTAATCTATAAAGTCCTCTTCAGACTCATGAAACACATGCAATGATGCCAAATGCAGGAAGATCACAGGCCAGTGGGTGGAAAGTCTTGTGGATCCAGTGTTGGTGGAAGCATCTCAGCACTGGCAGGGGTCTCTATGTGGCTCCTCCAGTTCGGGGCACTGGTGGAGCTCCATGTGTCTTGTCAGCTGGAATGTCTCCCAGGGAGTCAGCTTGCGTCCTGCCTCCAGCAAGCTATGTATCTCCTTAGCACCTCCAAATGAGGTCGTCACCTTTCCACCTGATTGACAGGCTAACCTCCCCCCTTCACTCTTAATCCTCTCCAGTGGACAACAGATTAAGTAACCGCCACAGACAGTTTTATTGGGATATAATCCACATATCATACAATTCCAGCTCTTGAAGCTTCTAGTTAGTTAACTTCTGGTTTAACTCATTATTACAGGAAAGTACGACTCAAGCTATGATGGGTGAAATGAAAAGAACTCCCAAACTCGCGTGAAAGAAGAGGTGGGTTCCAGGAAAAACCTCTTCTTACCCTGAGACTTGAAGGATGATGCTGGTGTTAGGTGCCGGCCCCCCAGCCAGAATCACCTTCCTCAGATGCTTATCTGATGACATCCATGCAAACCCTCACAGAGGACAAAGTTGGCTGCCTCTCCAAGGGCTAGTCCCTTTCCTCTCTGCCCCTCTCTCCTGTCAGAGATCTCTGCCAATGATACAGACCACAAATGCTACACCGTGCTCCCTCCCCACAACCCCCGGTTCCCTTCAACCAGATCTTGGGGATGTGACCTATCCCTGGCCAGTGGGATCTAAGGGCATGACTAACTAGCTGGGGGTTTCTGGGCAAAACTTTCCTCCCTAGTGAAAAGGGATGCCCAGGAGGAAACACAACTTTCTTTGTGTAGAACCTCATAGGTTCCCACCACCCCCGTTTCTGAAAAAGAACAAAAATTACTCAGCACTGTCTCCCACCCCCTAGAAATGAAAAACTTTTGGACTATAGTTCATAATCCAGGATAAAGTTTAGGCATCTGCTTTAGCAGTCCCCTGGATCATTCCAGTGAGGTACCCCCCCCCCAGGGGGCAATGTCACCCTGAGACCTACTAGTCTAGGCAGAATCAATCAATCAAATGAAACCAAACTCTGCTGTTTAGTGGAAGCTGACTCTTAGTGATCCTATAGAAGAGTGTAGAATTGTCCCAGGGGGTTTCCATTGCTTTAAGTCTGTGTGGAAGCAGCCAGTGGCCACATCTTTCTCAGGGGAGCAGCTGGTGGGTTTGACCTGCCAATCTTTCGGCTGGCAGGAGAGCAGTTAACCCTTGCTCGGCCATGTTTGCATAAGAGGCCGGGACCAAGGCAGCCACTTTCTAACTGTGAATTAACCAGGTTAAGGATAAGCCCAGGAGTGATGTAGTGGCTTAAGCATTGGGCTACGAAGCCTTAGTTCATCGGTTGAAACCCTCCAGCTGCTCCGCAGGAAAAGGAAGAGGCTATGGGGTTCAGGGTCAATGCAAAAGGTCAAGGAGAGGAAAGCGAAAAGGATCCTTCGTGACAGTGTTGACCACCTCAAACTACTTTGGAACCTCCTGGTTGGGGTTTTGTTGTCATGGGCGAGAACAAAGATCTTCAGGGCCTAAGTAACTTCTTTACTTAAACCAGTTGCCGTTGACTGGAGGCCGACTCGCGGAGACCCCCAAGCGTGTCGGAGGAGAACGGTGCTCCGTAAAGCTTTCCGTGGCTGATTTTTCAGAAGCACATCATGGGACCTTCCTTCTGATCCTCACCAAGACAACACTTCCACCGCGGTTGAAGTACAAAGATCAAAGCCTTGCTATGATCTACAGAGCCCTGCTGAGTTCCCTGCGAGCTGTGCCCTTCCTTGCCCTTGTGCACGGGAGGCATGGCCACATCTTCCTTCACTCTCCTCCTACCTCAGGCCCTTTGCACATGCGGTTCCCCCTTTCCTCCAGTCTTCCACCAGGAAACTCCTACTCTGCCCTCTGACCTTTGTCTCCTCCCTCAGAGTAACGTTCTCCGGATGGAGGTCCCTCAGTACATAAACGCAGAGCCTCTGGTAGCTGTCACCACAGGTGTATGCGGTCCTCTTACCTTCAGAACCAGGCTGTGTGGGCTTGGACAAGTCCAACGTCTCTGTGCCTCCAGTGGCACAGACCCCCCCCATCTGCCCTACACCTGTAGTCTAGCCGAGCTCAGCCACCTCAAGTGAGCCTCCGTGAAAGCCGACCTGCCGGTCCAAGACTAAAAGTTAAAATGAAATAAAAGTCACTGCCATTGAGTCGATGCTGACTGCCTGTGAGTTTCCAAGACGATCACCTGTCTTTCTCCCTCAGAGAGGGCCTGGTGGCTTCAAACTGCTGATCTCAGATCACAGCCCAACCCGTGTCCACTACACCACAGGGGTCCTCTATAGAGCCCCTAGCAAGAAAAAGGAATATCCGTTGTCCTCAGCTATTGAGATTGGGAGGGGTCTGCTCTGCAGCACAACTGGATTAGCTTAAAACTGAAGGGGGAAACAGTGCAGGGGATACACGTGGATTGAGTAGCCTTGCTGTCATGCAGAACGCGTGGGAAAGTGGACTGCTGCCGGTGCAGTTAGGGTAACATTGAACACACTAGCATTTGATCTGACCCACTTACATTTGTTCCAGTTTTTAATACTAGTTTTTCTAGTTTTTTTCTGCTTTCTTTTAGATTGAGGTTTTTATCCGCTTTACTTTGTTATTCTTGTTCATTTTTGTTTGCTTGTTTTTCAATGTGTTGTTTTTT